CCTTAATGATTCTATGATTCTATTAATTTCACAGCATGGCCCTGAAATTGAAGACTTTTCTGATCTCTTTGGGCTTTAGTTTAGTGAGATCATGCTGGTCTATCTCTATGTGGAGGACATCCTCTTGTGGGGGATAGAAAGATAAACTCCGTTACTGAATGTTGTAGATGTTACCCTAGTAAAGATAAATGCACTGGAATCTTTTATAGCTCCTCGAGGGAGCAGTTAGGAAAGGCAGAAGTATTTTGAAAGAATTTTCCCCCTCCCCCTGATATTATAGGAAAACGATAATGAAGAAAATCCTTAGAAATACCAACATTTTGTGATGTGTCCTTTAAAGCCCAACTGACTTGGTGCTTAAAGATTAGAATCCTGGTGTGATCAGGAAGTCTTAAATTCCCTTATGAACTACTCCTTCCTAACAAATTATGCCTAGGAAGTAAAAGCAAAACTTCCTTTCTGGGAAGCTTTGGGAAACATTCTGCATTTTCACTGTTAATGTAGAGCATCTTCTGAGCCTGTGTTTTGCCTAAGTGATAGGAGAACAGAACATACTTTGTTTTTGTTTCTGTACTGCAGAAAGAGACCACGGGAAGACACTGACCTAGAAATGGAGAACCATGACACCAGAAGGGAAACAACTGCTCCCTGGAAGAATAATTATTGACTTGACCATTGTATTGACTTTTCAGGAGGAAATTAGTAATCGAGCACATGCAAGTGAACAAGCATTTTGCTTTTCAAGATTTTGTTATTCCACCAACTAAATATGATTGCTTAGACTGCTGAGGGGAAAAAAAAAAAAAATTGTTAAAGGTGGCCAATAAGCCTGCTGTGCTGCTAAGTGAGCCTTTAAAAACGTTTGTTAAATGTCAAGGGCCAAACTTTGAACAGGCAGCTACTAAGCACCATGAGCCATACTGGAGAACTGTTTTTAAAACTTTAGTGTACCCTGTTAGTAGACAGACCTTTTATACATTCTAAGTAGTTTGCAACATTAACTTGCATTATAACTAATAGCACTGTAAAATCACAGCTTGAAAAACAAAGTCACTCTGTAATTTTCAAACAAATGTCAGATACGATATGGTCATTACAAAAATTTTGTTGAGTTGCATAATTCTGAAATAGTTTTATAAGGAAAACTTAATAATGGGACAGGCTTGATAATCATGTTGGTTCTATTTACTGCTTTTACTTTTCATTTTTATTTGGATCTGTCCCACTTATATGAAGGGAGTTCAGAAGAATCTGGTGAAACATTCTTACTTATGGTAAGAGTTGTTTTGCAAAAAGGTAAAAGGTTTGCAATTAATTCTGAGGGCTGTTCCCTCTTAGCTCTTTCAGTTGCCTTAAGAGTCATATTGGATCACATAATCCAGTATTACTGAGTTAGTCTAGATGCTGGGAATCTCATGTTCTGGGTACTCTGTTGAATCAGTTTTGATTTTCTGGTAGCAAGAACTGGGGAAGCTCTACAACTAAAATGGCTACACTAACAGAATCCTGTAACAAACAGCTTTTCAAAAAACCACTAAAAATCTTAATCTTTAGAAAGGATGTACTGATGCTTTACCTGTGCTCCAGGAAAAGTTTTGCAGTAGGCTAGTAACTCTGAGTTAGTAACTCCTTATCTGACTGTCACAGTTTAATATTGAAATCAGTTTTCCCCGTGCCATAAGATGTCCAGCTTCAATGGGGTGGTTTAGAGGAAGTGAACTAGAAGGAGATGTGCTCCCCACCATATGCCAAATAAGGTTTTAGCAGAGTTTTGTACATGTGAATATTCTCAAAACCCCCAAAGGATCCCCTTTATCTTAAGTATACACACCATTCAGAACAACTAATCCAGACCCTGATAGTTTCTTCTGAACAAGTACACAACAGAATGCAAAGAGTTAACAGCACAGACAATAATCTATGTGATCACCAAAACACAACTGTCTCCTATTTAATGAGTAGGCCTAGGGAGATCTGCTACTTACAAGGAGGTTTCTCAACAGGGAAGCCATTTTCTTTTCTAGGTCCAAGAGGCATCCAAACCAAAAGAGACAAAGTTTCAGTTTTGCACTGTCAAGATGGATGTTCCTTGAAAAGCAGCTCTGGTACAAGCAGCAGTACTAACCCTCTGGATTCCAAAGGTCCCAAAACTGCCTTGCTTTGAGAAATACTCCTGAATGGTAGCAATATGAACAGGAAAACATCTGATCTGAGTCCAAAAGAATGATTCCTCTCAGATGAAATGTTGGGCTCCTGCTGGCTTCAAGCAAAGTCCAACACAGGGGCACTGCCACTTCAAATACTTCAGAATTGCCACTGCAGGTGCTGCTTATTTTCCACCTGTGATGTGCCAGCTTGAAAAGAGTGGAAGTTCTTAATAGCATTCACTGTCTATAGAAAGTAGGCTACAGACAAAACCCACACTGTTCCAGAAAGCACCTTCTTCCTTGTACTGCCCCTTTCCTCCATGGCAGTACTGTCAAAGAATAGCAGACCAGGATAAGAAATCAGAAAAAAATTCAGACTCACTATTTCAAGGCCAAAAATTTACTATTCTGCAAAGATTTTGCTCTGTCCTGCTGGTATCTCAGTATTTAAAAGAAAACACAAAACATCTGGTTTTGGTCAGTAAAGTGTCCATTTAATAAACTCCTTAGCCACATTTCCCACCCCTTCCTCCCACCCTAACATTTCAATTCACACTTAAGCAGCAGATGTCATATACTTTGATGGTGTACAACAGAAGTTTTTAAATCTGCACTCTTAATACTAAGAGCATCAGGGGCTAGTTTTTGACAAAATTATCTAGAACTCAGATGTGCCCATGCAAAAAAGCAGATTTTTATATACAGTCCCTACTTTTTTCTTACAAATTTAAATATTTTACAAAAATGCATTTTCAAAATGTATAAAGTTTAGTGAATACCCCAAATGTATCTTAAAATAAAATGTTATCTGATTTCAAAGGTTATTTCAACAATGAAGTCTAAATTGCACCAGATAAAAGGCACTTGTGCTGTGTGATGTCTTGAGCAAATATGTTAGTTTATAATACAGTAATACAGTGTCTTCTTGAATTCATGCAGCTGTCTCCGAGCATCAAGCATCATTAAAGCAGCCAAAAGAGATCGTGAGTAAACTTGATTCCACAGTTGTAAAAACATTTTCTATCGCTAAGTTGAACATACAGCATTGTGCTCCAGCTCTGACTCTAGAATCAAACGCTATAGAAAAATTGCTGTCATTCACATGGGAATTCAAACTACATTTCATTCTCTCATAAGTTACAAAAAGTATGCCATTTAATTATGAAACTAAAACACTAATGAACAGCTCAGTGTTCAAATAGTTTGTGCCAATGAAAGTCTGTATTTAAAAACAAGCTAGGGGCTAGTTATTCAAGGAGCAGTGCATCATATTTTCAGTTTCCACTTCACTGTTGAGATAAAAGCGCAGTCCTGTTTGCCTTCATCTTCTCCAGCCTTTTCATTAAGTGGCTATTGGTCATTTCCATCTCTTCTATCTTATCCAGTGCTGTTCTCAACTATAAAATGAAAGCAAAAGTTATCACTTTAAGTTTACTTGGACTTTCTGCTGTTCCTAACCTTTGACAGAGGAAATTAAATCAGGAATACAAGTATTATATGCTTTATAGAGTGCCACATAAGTTAAGACACAACACTTTCATTACTGCAGTCAGATGAACCGGAATTCAACTGTTAAAAAAATAATTGGGAAGCAATTGAAACATGGAACATGTACTCATTCCAAAAGAACTAGATGCCTGCAACTTCCTATTACATGCTCCTTAAAGATAAAATCCTCTCCACCATTGTTACTTGCTGATAGATATATATTCCCGTGGGTAGCAGGCATCATGCTAGTCATGCAGCAGCTCTTAAGCAAGCATGATCAACAGCTCAGTTAAATGCAGCGTCTTCCCAGCTCCCTGTAAGGTGCATGCTGGAAACTTCCCAGGCTGGCACTTGACATAGGGAGCATTCAACTCCCCTGTAATTTTTATGGAAGGATTAGTTTAAAATAGTACAAGTTATCACATTTAGAAGAAAGTACAACTTGAGATCCTTCCTTTCAAGGAAATTCGTATTGAACTGTAATTAGTATTCCTTTTATGTGCTACAGTTATCTTCTGTATGCAACACAGACTCGGAGGCCTTCTCAAAAAAACACTTAAAAGCTGTAAGCAAAGATTACAAAAACAGAGCTTGGAGGCAAAGGACAGAGCAGTTCAAGACTGAAAGGAGCATACAGCTGAAAAGGAAGTCAGGTCAATTACCTCCCGCTGAAGCTTCCTCTTTTCAGCTTTGAGTTCATCTTCTACTTTTTCTGCATTTTCTGCTGCATTTTTATACCTTGCAACCTGCCCCTCAAGTCGTCCAATCTGCAAATCCAAACAATAAGAAAGGAATGATTACTCAGGTGTTCCACCCTCAGCTCACCTGCCACCACCTGTGCTTCCCTATCTGAAAAGCCACCATAACACAAGGCATCCTGTGAATCATCCATAGTATCTCCCTCTGGAAAGAGGAGGTTTAACTGTGTTAGCAGCAGCCATAATTGCAAAGAGAGTGTTTAAAAGAATAAAAGAGTAAAATAAATTGTGGGCAGAAACTTGGAATACCCTTCACTGCCTGTCCCTCCCTGGCAAAGGTCACAGGAAACAGTAGAGAACATGTAGTATAGGACACAGCTGAGAAGATACAGAAGGTTAAAGAACTAAGCAGAGAGAGAAAGGGGGGCGGGGAGAAATCAAGAATTGGGGAACACATGGGATTAAAAAAGATGTAAAGTTGAAAAGCAGAGACCATATGAAAAGGTGCAAGGTAGAAAGGAGACTAAGTTACCAGGACATGATGCAAGAGGTCTTGAGCTCAAGCACAGAGTTCAGCAGTAAAGAGGGGTCTTGAGACAAATCCTGATTGCAATTGCAATCTGCAGGTGTTAAAGCCCACTTTCTGGATTGTTATATTTATAGCTCCCTGCTACCCCCAAACCCATACAACAGGCTAGTAGCCTGTTGCTGTGCGAGAGACCAACTATGCGTCTCATTCAAATTTTAATCCTTGATGTGATTTGTAGGTGATCTACAAAGATGCTGAATTATAATACCATGTTACTGACTTACAATCAAAGTGTGAGCAAATCAGTGTTTTATATATATATAATCTATAAAAACAAACTCTTGAATTTCAGAGTAAATCATGTACCTTCCACAGTCTATACAAATTTCTTACAAGTAATTAAGCTACATAAACTGATTTTCTTGAACTAGTAGCTTATTTTCTCTTATGGTTATTTTCTCTTATGGTTAGACTATGTACAGGTATTGAATTGCAGGAAATATGCAAAAATACAAATGTAGTGCCATTCTGTGCAAACTAAAGAACAAACAGTAAATCAAAGTTTACAGTACTTTTTTCAACTATGAAAAACTATGAAAAAGTGTGCAGAGCAAGTGTAATGACAACAATAAATATGAAGAAAGACACACTTACATTTTGTTCCAAGGTAGTTATATCTTGTTCAGCTTTTGAAAGCTTAAATTTGTATTCACTAATTTGTCTGTTGGCATCCCCTAGACAAAAATTGACATGAATATATTACTCAAAGCAATTATCTAAACTGGCAGTTTCCCTTTTAATTAAAATTCATTTAAAAGACATTTCATTGAGAAGCCCGTATGCAGGACTATAAAGCAGTAAGTGTTCTTTCAGAAATCTTTTTTGAGAGTATGAAAAGGAAATACTTTTCCTATTATTTAGAGAACACAACTACTGTCTCTGTAAGGTGTGCATTAAATCTCAGATGTATAAATGAGATACACACCTTTTAAAACACATATTTAAATCTGCAAACGCATCTCTCAAAAAAGAGAATCAACACAATAACCAACATACGCTGCAAAATTGATTAAATCACAACAGACATAATACCAGCAGCATTTAGCGTAGACATCTGTAGTAACATTTGAATGATAAGGAGCACAAGGCTTGAACCTGCCTGACAAACTCTAAGGAGCTTTGCAAATTATTTTGGTGTTATATTTTAGCCCTGACATTGCCAGTGCTCTGTTCATGTTCATTGCCACAAGGATATTAAATGACAATCTGTCAAACAAGTAAAGTTTTCAGCTGAAGAAATAGCTTGCTTGAAATGGAAAGTAGCTTAGTGCTTCTTTGAAGCAACACTGAATATTGTGTTAAATTTTAATAACTTCATGTTTTGCTTCAGAGAATAATAGTCTTTTAGATTACGTTTCTGTATCAAAGATTCAACAAAATAAAAAAATCAGGTAGAATATATTAACAAAATATCTCAGCTGAAATTCTATGATCTAAAAATTGAAATTGTTCAAGTAGTGGCACCCATTCTAGGCAAGGTCATCAACTGAAAAATAACTTTCAGTGTTGAATAACACCATCCTGGGAAGAGGCAGATTTTTAAGCTATTCTGCAATGAGAAATTTCCTGCAAGGAGATATACCAACAAAAAACTAGCTGCTCAATGATATATTCATTCACAATACTACCACTGCACAACAATATAGGAAAAGGAGTTGGAAGAGTGTTTCCTCTCCCCAGTAAGAATACCTCTGAACAGTAACCATATACCTACTCTGCATTTCAATTAGCTGCAAGTCAGAACCGTTCTCTAAGCCTATGATATCTGGATTCATGCCATCACTTTTAGAATATTTCTGTCGTTCTTCTTCCAACTGCATCTTCAGTTTTCTAACCTGAAAAAGAAGTGGGGTTTTGTGAAAAAGAGACTCCTGGAAGTTCAGTAGTTGTGTATCTAAACATTCAATGGGAAAAAGGCAAAGCAGTGCTGAGATGCCACTGACTGAGATGGTTCTGTAAGCAGGAGCAGCAGAGTCATGCAGGCGAGGCAGGGAAGCCAGCCCCTGAGGCCTGTGGCTGCAGTCCCCCATCCCCGTTGCTGGGCGAGTGCCCTCTGCATGTCAATGCACAATCCAAACCCACCAGTTTGGTCAGTGCTGCAGGGATCTCTGCGCAATTCAGGGGCATCCAGTAACTCTAACAGAGCTGCCTTCCCAGAGGAGGAAGCGGTACTAAACTCTGTTTGTGTGTTTCTTCTACTGTATACCTTTTACACTCTAAACACGTATGAAGATAGTGAACAATATCCTGGTGAGTTTACAGAAAGAATAATCCGCAGCTTTTTTGGGGTCCTCTCTTTTACTCCACCTGGAAGCAATGGTCCTAGGCAAGTCTGTAGTGCACATCAGTTTTAAATGGTTCCATTTTATGCTACAGCAGCTGTCTTGGGATTTTTCCAGTAGTCAGGGAACATTGATCCCTCAGCTATGTCCTCTGTGTCTGGGGTTTATGAAAGAAGTGGGAGCTACTTTTTCGACTCTTATCAAAATATTGCCCTACAGATTAGTGGTATGGGAGTTATACTTGCAAAACTCCCATTCATGATATAAATCAAATATTTTAACAATGATTTTTACAATTATATGGTGATAAATATGCATATGCATCTTTATATACTTACATTTATTACTTATATTTAATAGCCTTGATTCAATACTAGAATTTATTGGCATTCTAAACCAAGTATCTATACTAAAATTAAGGTACATTCCCAGCAAAAACAAATGTTGACAACATCACATTAAATTTGCAATGTGTTCAACTATGGTATACTTAACAATTGTTCAATGGATATATGTTTTCTTGAGTCCTCTCTTCTCAATACTGAACTGAATTAAAATACAACTACTTTGATAATATTAATTTACTGTTTCAGTAATGGAAATGATCAAATAAAAAGCACCACTTAGCGATTTGGAAGAGAGTGCCACTTGAGCTTATGAGAATGTCATTTTACTGACGTTAGTATTTCCACATAAGATAAAATAAAAGAACGAACAACTTCAAGTACATGCATTAATAGTAGAGTCAGCAGCAAGTTAGATTTCAGCTAACCAGTTAGTGAAATGAGGGTTGTTTACCAACCAAGATCAAAGTCACATGGATAAGGACACTAGTGAGAGGAGCTGATAATTCCTAGTAGCCAGCCAGGTAAGAAGTTGACTATTTTATTTTGTTTCAGTGCTTAAGTATTTGATTAAGCACCTTTGGTGCTTAATATTTGTTTATTGCTAATATATTAATAGTCTGCAAAAGGATACAAAGGTCTATTTCTGAAAAGAATAGCTTATTTTACCTGGGACAATAATTCCTCCTTTTCTCCAGCCAGTTTTCGTAGCCGGACATCTAAAACCAAAGAACCCAGTTAAAAACCAGAGAAATCTGTAACTAAGAACATATATTTCATAACTTTTTGTTCATTTTCAAATAAAATGCTGTTCAAACTTAAAGCTAATAGCACTGGGAGCATAAAACTTTGATATCTCACTAATAACAACATACCAGCCTTCAGTTAATAGCAGAATAAAGGGAAAAATATTTCATTCACACTGTTTATTAGTATAAATTTTAAAAGCAAGTAATTCTTCAAAGTAAATTAACTGAGGATTTTTTTTTTAATAATTAAACACAGTTTTGTCCCACTATCTAGAACAGCCAGTTCCAACAAAATTTTCTTCTGATTGTATACTCTTTTCCCTGTCTTATTCTTAAGGATTGCTGTCTCTTCAGAGAAGGCACTAAGCTTCCCCACATGTTTAGAAAGTGTTCTTAAATCACAAAAAAAGTACTTGGGAAAGGACCCACAGGAATGTTGCAATATCTCTAATCAGTCAGAAGATCAGTAATGGCTACAAAACAGTCTGTGAAGTAACACCGTGCTAAGATTAGAGCAGCTCCCTTGGAAATTGTTATTTTGACAGTAACAAAGCATAAAGACATCTGAATTTCACTATGATGGAGCCACAGCAGAAACATGCATCTAGTCTAATATCTGTCAAAACAGAAATATGTAACTATTATTATGTTATGTACAAATATAATGCAAGTGTATAGAGATGTTTCTTTGCATGTTAAATAAGAGAGTTTTACAGTGGATTGACTATGCATACAATAACTTGTTCAACCTAAGGATAAAAGCAAGTTAAAATAAAGGCCTCCAAAACCTGTATCCTTCTGTTGTCTGTGTCATTTTTTGAATGTTTTTAAAACTTTTTTTTTCCCCTTAATTAATGTGATGAAAAACTGCACTTGCTTTACACTAATAAAGGCAAAGCATTTCAAGGAAGGGGAAAGAATATATAATGCATTTTTTTCTATAACAGAAGTTCTTTCATTGATTATACATACTTTAAAAGAATTTTTTTTCATGAAACACAATGGAAAGCATGCTAATCCAAAAGACTATACTTTTAGGCGAGATATTTTTTTCCAGTAATAAAACAGAAAGTGGACCAAGAGATCTAATCAGTTACAAACGTCCAAGCACATACTATTATTCTTTTTACTGAAAAGATACATCTGTCTTTTTACTCAGCGTAAAAAAAAAGAGCCAATCTTGAAAGTTGTGTAAGCATGTATTCCAGAAGCATCATAGGTATCTTTTTGTGGCTGTAAATCACAACCCACCGAACAGGAGGGAAACAAAGACTTCAAACACTCTCTCTATATAAAGAACGTTAGGATATTTTTACCTAGTGGTCCTTCTCCTGCAGATTCCAAGACTTGAGCAGCTTCTTGTGATACAACTGTTATTGCACCAACCACTGATTCATGGTTTACATCACCATTTGGTGTGCCATCTGGAATTATAACTAATCCATGTTTCTAAAAATACAAAAGAAAAAAACACTAGTCATACAGCAGTCCTAAAATATAATTGGACAGAAAAGTTTTAAAAAAGGTTTTCAAGTTGATTGAAACAATTACAATGAAATGCGCCGTTTATCCAACCTAAGGTCACGTTTTGAGACTGCACAAGAATAGTAACCATTCTTCCTCTTTCCTTGACCTTGATTTCATACCCATTCCTGGATTTCTGTTACTGTAAAGTAACTACTACCAACATACCTCTCCTCTCTTCATTGTTTCCTTCAGGTCAGCCAACTCCTCTCTGAGCTCATCTCGCTCATTCTTAATGCAGTCAAAGTAATCTTTCTGTCTTTCTAGGGCCTGGGTTCAGGCAGATGGCAAGAAAAAGAATGGCACAGAGAAAAAGCATATGACAGATAGCAGAGAGATTTTCTACAAGTAAATACAAAGAGCTAAATAAAAGTAAAGAAATTAAAAGGGGTATTTAATATATATAAACATACATCTCTGATAACTACCTTTTACAAGTCACATATCTAGCCTCATTACTGCACGTTTGTCATGACATAGTTTTTTCCCAGGTGAGTGGGAGATTTTTATTTAGTGGATTCTATTTTTGATAGATTTTGATAAACTAAATTGAATACCAAAAGAGTAAGTGATTCTTCTTAATACAGGCACTCTGTGGCCAGAAATAAAATTTGCTGGAACTCAATTGGCAAAGATCCTAAAACATTACGTTCATTGAACTAATTTCCCTACCTTTTATAAGGTATAGAAGTAGAAATTTTACCTCATAAAAGACCCTGGATATGTAAGCCTGTCATCCACTTACAAATACTAGTTTATTTACTACTGCTTAAGAATTACAACCACCCTTTACTAAAACCAAAGCAACAGTTTTAGAGGGAAAAAAAGCAGGAAACACTAGCAGCACTATTTTAGCACAAGAAAGGATTGCAGCTAGAAGTGCAATACGGACGTAGATGGGTTTGCCTACCTATGCTAGAGCTGTGTTACCTGGCAGTTAATCAGACATTTTCACTTGACTGGGCAGAATCCCAGTATTCCATACAAATTCAATACTGCATGCATTACAAATAATCCTGACCATACAGCAACTGCAAAAGTGTACACACATTTTGCCAAGAAAGTTATCCAACTAAACCTTGCGTCATGCATGGATGTTTAGGAATGAACTGATACGAAGAAAGAAATGAAGGTGTATACCTTTGTATTACAATTGCTCCACATAACAACTGCAATATGCTGAATTTTAATAATTATCTAGAATCTGTATACTAGAGCAATGTTTTAATGCATTACTCAATTTCAACAGAAAAATTTAAGTGCTGTTGCACTTCATTTATTAGTATGTAAATGTAACATTTAAAATATAGGTAATTCAACATGCGTGAAAGCATTAGCTGTCACATCATAGTTTAAGAACTCATAAAATGTCTTTTTATTTCCTAACACATACTAGATCTCTAACTACATTATAAACAGCGTGAAGAACCTTTTGTGTTCCATTTAAAGATAACATACAGCTTTTCCATTTTTGAAGAACAGCGGCAGAGATAGAGGGGGAAGTAAGCTCACCCACTTGAGAGAATTGGCACAAAGGCCCAGAATCACACTGCAGGCACAGATTCTCTGTGTGCTTGGCAGTGCCCTGTGATGCTGCTGACATTTCCCAAAACATCCTTTCTATCTTCACTCCCTATGCAAAAGTGTTGCAAATCAGAAAATTTTGATGGAGGAAGAAGTGAAACTGATAAAACCATAGATCTCTACCTATGGAGAGATTAGTAATCATTATTCAAAGTTGAAAAACTTTAGTAAAACTGCTAGTGTTCGTATGCTCAGGGGTTATGACACATGACATGGATTTTGTACTAAATCCACTCCTGCAATTCTTCTACGTGGGGCGGGGTAGGGAATAAAAATCAGGACAACTAAGCTCTGCAGGCATGTTTTAAAATACCAGTATGATTAAAATATGATCACTTGGCAGAAAGCATATTTGTCTGGGATCCTATTTTCCAAATGTTCCAAAAATCTTCACAAAATCTATACTAAACTCAGACACGCCATTGCTAATTTCAAACTGGCAATGCATGTACAATTTGGAGCCAAACAGTAAGATAGCTGTATATTTCAGGAATGTAACCTGGAAGTTATAGGTCAGCGTCCGCAAATTGATCTAATTTAAGACCAAATGTAACTGCAAATTTCAATCACTTTCTAGGAACAGGACAATATAAGAAGGCAGGTGTAAAACAGACTCATGCTATCTCTATTCTGCTTGCCTCCATTTCTTCCTCCGAGGCAGCACCAGTCTTGCATACATTGTAAAACTAGGTTACAATTCTAATTATAAACTACTTCTCTATGAAGCTTCTCAGACTTCTGAAGCTGGAATAGAGTAAAAATTAGAAAAAATAGTGAGTATTGGGGAGAAAGACAAAAAAACATGAGCTAAGAAAAATATGTAAATGTTTTTACATAACAGAAGTGAAAAAGAAAAGACAGCAGCATTTTTTACATTTTAAGAACTAAGAAATTTCAATTCCGAGATGGTAAAAAAAAACCTTGAAAAAATTCCATTTATGGTGTTTACAAGAACACAGAAACTAGCAGGAAAGTTTTGGCTAAAGGAAAAAATATCTTTGTCAGTCTGGCTGGTAGCTAGTTTTTTGAACGTTAGATAGATGATATGCTCTGTACTAACTCTAGCTATGTATTTGAAAGAGAAAAAAGTGCTTGCACAAAAAAATTGCACAAATTGGGACAGTCCAGTACACAAAGGTAAAGAGTAAGTATGGTTAATTAAAGATAAAAAAACCTTTAAGAAGAATGTTCAGAAGAAAACTTAAAATATTATTTTATGATGGAAGAGAGGATTGCAATATGGATTGAAGAACAAACATGAAATAAATATGGACTGAATAAAGACAGTATTAACAGGGCTTTTTTTAACTGGGCACCACCAGTTAAAAGAGAACTTTTCAAAATGACTTGAACTCCAGCAAATACAGCAATTTTCAAAGAAATCTGCATATGTCAAGATCTGGTGTAAAATTCATTTAGTTAGAGAGAAATGACCCTAGAGTTATTAAAAAGCAGACTATTCCTTTCTAAAGACTACCCAGCTAACTCTCTCTAACCACCAGGCAATCTACTCGCAGCCTAGAACAGCCACAGGTTCAGAGCCATGTAGTTATCACGAATGATTAGGCTGACTCCGAGACAGTTTTACCACTTCTGTGCTGCCCAGAAGCAAAGCTGACATTCTATATTAGCTGCGTAGTGTGTATCAACTCAGTTCTTCCCGTACCACCTTCCTTTCTACACAGGAGCCCTACAGATGCTCCTCAAAAGGTCCCATGCAATCACTGTTTCGATTCCAACTCTCAATTCCAATAGTTGGCAACTCTGGTATTTTGTTTGTGGAACCACAAAATCATCTTGGTTCAGTGTTGGATCCAACCTAACCAGCTCTAGAAGGATCAGAAGTGCAATATAGGAATGTGCAAGTGTGCGTGCAGAAGTCAATTCAAGATTGTATTTTTTAGCACTAGGTATGCCAAATGCAAGCACAATCTACAAATATTCACTGAGGCTTCTCTATATTTTGACCCTTAGCTCCTGTAGCTCCCTAGGTTTTCCATTATTTGGGGTATTTTGTCTCTCTTATCCCAGGTAGTGGAAAGCAGACCATTTTAAAATCCACTAATTGTTATGCAAATTGTTAAGATGCCAACAGAGGCAGGAGCCAAAGGGCGAGCAAGGTTTAAACTGTTCAAGTTTTGAAAATTGTATTTGCCTCTAAGAAGATTAAAAGCTTTAAAAATAATTTCAAATCTGTATAAAATTATATTATTGCTATGTCACTATGGATCAATATACAGACCCAGCAATAATTTTTATGTTTGTTAAGAATAAGGAAATGGTGACTTTTTCAAGCCCTGATTACAGGTAAAAAGTGTTTTGTAAAAAATTATAAAATTGTATGCATAACAGTTTATTATGTTATAGATTTAATTAGTATTATTCGTCATTATGCAAGTAAAGATGAAGTGGAGCTCATTTTCTAAAGAAAAGAAAGACTGCAAGATGTTTTAAATATTTAAATTGGGAATGGCCTTCATTTCTTTGGAGTACACAGCATTCCTTGGGGGGTGTGGGGGACATCCATCTACTTCTAAAATGAAAAAATACCTTTCCCCCCATATTTGTTTCATACCCCTATTTTTTTATCTTTCCAATTAATTGTCTCCTGGAGATCAAACACCTCTTTGGTTATGGAGTCTATATTCTGCTGCATGCGTTGATTCTCCTGTAGTAAATAGGATGAGGGAAGAATAAAAGAGGAAAGAGAAGTAAGGAAATGGGGAAGGAAAAAAAAGCAAAAAACAACATTCAAATAGATAAAGGAAATTAAATAGTAAAAGTAAACCAAAGAGCTTATGAGCATGAAGTTAAAGAAAAAGGGTGCTACTAAGTGTAACACAGTATTTCCCTTAACACTGCATTTTTCTGTTTGCCCTGCAAACATCACTGAAATTCTTTGCTATGCTCATATAATTATGTATGAAGATAACATAAGAATTTCTAGAGCTAGAAATAATTTTTTGCCTTCCTAATGTGTGAACTTGATTTTACATCTGGGAATGGAAGACAAGGTCTTTCTGCAAAAAGCTAAATGGCTTCCACTAAATTATCCGTTAGTGTTAATAACTGGAGAAGTTACACAAATAAATGGTAAATATGGGGCAAACTATCTTTATCTTTGAAGGGACTACATGCATTTGGTGAATATTCAACATGCATATGCTACATTCTACCAAAGCAAATACTCCAGACAAATCTATTGTATATTCTTGGTTCACATACTTTTTTAAAAAAACAAACAAACAACAACCACCAAAGAAGAAGAAAGTATAAAGTGTTTTTTTCCTTCACAGTGAAGTCAAAGAGAATCCAGAGCAAGTGACAGAGCTACAACCAGAATTTGCCAAGTTTTTGCTTGTCAGCATTAATCTGCAAAATCCTGCTGCTTAGGCTAATCTTACTCCTTTTCTTCTGCTAGTAAGTCATATCAACTCCAGTTCATGAAGTATGTTATTTTCTCAGTAATCATCACCAATCTGGGACTTTTCAGAAGTCTTTTGGAATTACTGTACTACTGCCTGGAGAGCACAAGAACTTAATGGGGAAAGAAATCAATCAATGAAATGCAATATTATATAGCTTTTGAAAATCAGGTAGTGGAAACTTTGACCCATACACTTAAAATCATCAATTTTTACTGAAAACTAAAAGGCAGTGGGAAAATGATGTACTAGTTGAACTACAATTTACAGTGCTAGAACCAAAATCAACGGGAAATAGACACCTGCATATTGTTGACAATATATAACTTTGTGGACCATTTTAAAATTAAGATTGATAATAGCTCTGGGATTTTAGGGCACTTTTGTTCTGGAAACAAATCAAAGGGGGGAGAGGGGAAAAGAAGAGGGGGAAGAGGGCAAAAGAAAATAACACACCACACACCCAGCAACATGGTTATGACCCAATAACATGCTGACCAGTGTTGCTTTATTTATGCTTGACTGGTAAGTAAACAAACATTCGCTGCTGCAAACTTCAGTGGTTGATGCTTACAAAAATCTTAAGTAACTGAAAAGGAAACTTTTGGGAAAGGCAAAGAATAATATTTGGTATTATGCATGCATCAGAACTTCTGGCTATGCAAAAAGATTTTGGCCATACAAACATTAGTTCTGCCCTCACAAGGAAGAAAAGATACAAGGCACGTCCATGAGAGATCCACAATTCTCACAGGAATTAAGGATTTTACACATTTGAAAACCTTGCAGAGACATTTTCAACTTTATAAATTAAGAGAGATTGATAGCTTAAATTCTACCCACTAACACAAGAAAAATTCTTAAAAATGCGAAATAATATTTAAGCTCATTTTATGTACAATGGCTGTTCCCATTCAAATCTTACACCATATTTCAAGTAACACAAAGCACAAGTTCTATCATACACTATCTCATATAAACATACCTCTATCAATTCATCTCTCTGTCGAAGGCCCTCTTTAAGTTCATCCAGCTTATGCTGTAGAACACTGCATGTGTGTTTCTGTCTTTCCAATTCCTATATTAAATAAATTCATGATTTATTTTTATTCATGTTGGGTTTGACACTCATTTTCAATATAAAGTTTAAAAAAGTTAGTAATTGCTCTTAACATAACATTACCTAAGAAATTACTGCAACAATTTGAGAAATTCTACCTACCAAGTGGCTAAAAATCACAGAATCAGTGTTTTAGGTAAGTTCTCCAGATACTTACTATACAGAAGATTTTATTTAATAAAATTTAGAGTGGAGAGAAAAGATGCCGTAAAGGTTTAAGCACAATATTAACAAGAAAAGCTCAGATGCTGAATTTATCTAAATATTGCTGGAAAAAATTGCCACACAGATCTTCCCTTTCCAAGAAAGTGGGACTGAACATGTCCAATTCAAATGCATATTTTATCATTAGTGTATTGCATTAATTAAACACAATTATTTTGCATTTAATTGGGGTGGGGGGTGGTGCAGGGGGGTGGGATGTGTTTTGGGTTTGTT